GGACCATTATTTTTTTGATCTGGGAGTAAAATGTTTAAGGTGGTCGACTACTTTGGTAAATAGTAAACAGAAAATTGAAAATTGAAACTTTCTTAACCTGAAATTTAATGCTGATTTCAAAAATGCAAAGAAAAATGGGGTTTCCCAAGCTTATTTTTGAGATAATCACTCTGGTATGACATGTGTTTGTACAATTCTGGAAGAAAAATAGCGAAAAGCAAGCTCCGTACAAAAAAACAACAACATAAAACTGAAACTAAGGAAGAAACATGAGTAATTTTCTCCGAACACGTAACTTACACTATATTTATAAAATACTGATAAAAGTTGTTTCAATAAACTATTGTAGACAAAGGATAAACTTTTTTGTTCAGGTTCTACGGTGTGCAAGTTATTGTAAAAATTGAGCACAAAACAAACAGAAAGATTTTTTACATTGTTCTAATAAACAGAATTGTCTTAAACTTTGAAAAATCATGGGATATTACCAGATATTACGGAAAATACCAAAAAAAAGTCCCAAGCAAAATTTGAGGCTTTTGCCCTTTTGAAGTTTAAAACGCGTATTGTTCTTCAATAAAATTGTGAAGATTATTCATCTGTTTTTGAGCGGGCGCACATTGGGGGTACATTGGGCACATGGGCTCAAATCAAACGTTCAAAAGTAGTCAGCCACCTTAAATAATTATTTACATTATGATAATGAAATGACGGCCATTATTGCATTAAGATTACGGAGAGGTCACAATGAATCAAGTGGCTCAGATTTCTTGTGTGGGTTACCAAGTAAATTCCACTGCCTGCCCCACCCTCCCTGATAAAAAAATGAACAGTCCTAAGGGTACCCCTACTAAGGAGAATTTGTCAACCACTCCCTTCTGCACAAAAATCTTCATGACTGTAGTTTTGTATTGAAATAAAAGCAAATCATCCGTAAATTTGGACTGAATGCTTAAACTATTATTTTCTTGAGAAAATAGCGAAAAATTACCAACATAATTTGTAAGGCCAAGAAATATTCAAATTTTTGCAGGAAAAAAAAAGGCAAATAAGAAACTCATGTCTAAACTAACTTTGAATTCTTTGAATTCGCTTATGGAGTAGCTATAGAGTGGTTTTTGAGGACAGAGCAAGAGAGTTTCAAAACCTTTAGCCATGAAAGTCTATCACGTGCAGCAACCAAACAAGAGTTCAGAATTAAATGCTTATTTAAACAGCGAAAAATTCTGGAAAGTCGCAAATATACAGGGCAAGAACGTAACCTAATCTTAAAGTTTGTCTAGTCTAGTATAGTTTTGAAGCCTTTCTTACCTTATAATAGTAGAAGTTTCTGTCAACGCCCCGACTTCTCTCGACTCGCCATCTTGTTTCTTCTTGTCAAAGAGACCCTGAAGCATGATGGGTACACGTGCTCCGCTACCCCAGGAAGCCCATGGCGTCTATATCAATCCGCTAAAACAGCCCCAAAGTCTTATTTTTAAAAATTGTTTAAGATGATATGTGAATCAGCATAACATTGGGTTTTTATCACTCGTTCGTCGAGGAAATATTCTTATAAAACTTCACGAAAGAAATGTCAGATTTCCTTATGAAAATGTATTATTTTACCACAGGGATCCCAAATTCCACTGATCGCCAAAAAACGCTTTACAGAAAAAAGTTAAATACCTTTTACAAAAAGGAATTAGAAAGTCCTTTCTTAGATCAAAATCTTAAGCCAAAGAAATTAGGACTTTTTGCATTATTTCATAGAAAACAAGCGTGAAGTTGCGACCCCTAAAATCGCTTTTTTTAGGTACCAAATTTTCGTGAAATTAAAACCTCGCTTTTTCTAAGGAAAATATAAATTAAAAGGAAGCTGAGGATAAGGGGTTTACGTTCTGAAACTATCTTTTCCAATTATATAAAAGCGGTTGCGTTACGGAATAAAAGAATTTTCTCATCTGCAGTTATTTAGTCAACGGTCTACTGTTTTTACACTTTTACATATTTTTGGATGTTTTTGATTTTCGTTTTCAACGAAACTTACACAAATAACACCTCTCATAATGCGCTAAATAACTGCGCTGTTAAAAGTTTGGAAAAGCTTTGCACTCTTTCAAAATGAAAAGCCGAAAAAGATTTTTTCTGGGTTGCCTGTGGTTCGTGTTGGTTTAAGGCTGCAGTAAACGTAGCGCGTTTTTCAGTAATAGAAAGAGAAATTGAACTTACAGATTTTTTTCCAAACCTGATAATCTAATCTATAAGGCTTGATGAGAGTTCAACTTTTTTCATAAATGCTTAAAAAATTGAATTTAGTGAAATTTATCATTTTACTACAGGGATCCCAAAGTCTATTTAAGATGAAGGCTCAAATGCTCAGAAATCTGACTTTTCATTACAATAAATGAAGTAGCCTGAATCCAATCAATCGTTTACCAAACATTTATTAACAAAAGGTCTACCACAGGCAGCCCAATATTTACATTATCTATTTACATTTGGTATGTTTCAGTCGTTATAGAGGCTTTGCACATGATGGCCGCCATGACAGGTGGCAGGAACAATGGAATCTGGTCCAATCTGATTTACATAAGCAAAAAACAGGGGGGAAAGACTTCATTGTATTGTCTCCTGTTATGGCTGCCATCACGTGATGACGCACAGACTCTATTATTTAAGTTTTCTTAGTGGTAAACATACCACACATATCTACACCTATTTTCTCTCTACTTCCACAGAGCTGTTAAGTGTACCGTCAGGGACACTAGAGAAAATCATTTGCGCGTGCGTGCATTTCAGCACGTTTTCTAAGAATTTTGAAGAGTTTGAGCGAGAAAATAAATGTTTGTTTTCTCCAAGTATACAAAAAAGTTCAAGAGTATACTTTTGTCAGACCAAGATACTGTCTTAACAAACTCAATATGAAAGAATTAGACTAAAGTTTCAAGCATAGACACTAAGTTTTGGCATTTTGTGAAGTCCAATTTATCAGGCATGTTTGCATACCGATTCAGAGCATGCGCAGACGTTCTTCACTCGTGTCACCGTCATTCATATGGAAAAACGACTTCCGGGTCCAAAGCGAAAATTAATTATACAGGGACGGCGGAACCGGGGGGGCACTTTTTGTGTAATTTTAATACATTTTCACTAAACTCAGCCCCCCCCCCCCACCTTGCCATACAATGTCACTATTGAGCCCCCCCAATCAAAAAACTGCTCCGCCGTCCCTGTTATAGAAAGA